TACTAATACACTACCACCATTACAAAATGTATATTTATTTGTTCAAAATGCAAAATATGAATTTCTGTTATGCCACTTTAGAATAAAGACAAGCGCTAAATTAAAACGCTAATATAGCGACGAATCAAATACACATTTTGTTTTTGTTTTTGAACTGAATCAAATACACATTTGCACAAGTATTCCAAAGAGTTTTAACATGGGTTCTCATAGAACATAGTATATTATCATTACAATAATAAAAAATAACCATGCGCAAACCATGAAGAATCGAAAAAAGAAAGAACATTAATCGGAAAAAGGACAGGAAGGGATCGAAATCTAAAGGCAAGTTGGTTCGAGCTTTTATTTTTAGTAAAATTTTTTTTTAAAAAGAAGTTAATTCGAGCATCACCAGCATCACGTGGAAGGGACGTGGAGCTCGAAGTTCCACACTCGATTCAGAGTCATAAGACAGCGAAGCACACGTGTGTCCTCCTCGTTTGCCCCATAACACTTCATCTCCTCAACTGTCAAATAATCAGCCGCCCTAAATTCCATGACTTTCCCATATGGTACTGCCAGCTACAACTCGCAAACACACACTATGTTAATACACATATTGATTGTACGATATGAACGATGTACAATGTGTGTCTCAAAAGAAATGCTGAACTCGGTGTTATAATAGCAAGTGCTACAGCCTAAAGTTAAGCACAAACACAATGCTTGAGCTTGATCCAGGCTAGCTGATCCATGATAATTGATTCATATCACCATTAGACAAAATGAACGCACAAACTAATTCTCCCTCTATTTTATGAAAAAAAATCATTTTGACATTTTTACACAAATTAAAAAAGACTTAAAGCATTATATTATTATTAATTACATATATATTTAACTAACTGTATCTGTGATAAAAAATAATTATTTATAAGATCAATGTATTTTGTTATTAATATTAAATTTAACATATATATAAGCTATATTAGATTCTAAAATGACATTTTTTGTATGACAAAACGACATTTTTTATGAAACAAAGATAAGCAGTTAAAGTAATAATGCCTATAATCATAAAAATACAAATATGTCAAATGTTTTAGTATATAGAAGCATAGCAACTATATGGTCACTTTTATTTATATGTTCACTATAGATATCATGTAATCAAAATAAATAGTACTCCTCATCGTGCACTGCTGACAGAATCAGCCGTCCGATGTTACCACTCACTGAGACAACCAGCCGTCCGATGAAAGTTGGAGGAACCAACATCGTGCACTGCTGACAGAATCCCTCGCACGTGCGGCTATGTGCATTTCCAAAAATAATCGAGGTGGCTCGGGAATGGGTTCGGTTCGGGGAGTGGTCCCACGTGTCTTTACCATGTGACGTCTGAGCTGGCACATGCGATTAACCGCTAAATCAAAACGGCAATAATCATCATTTGTTCATTAGATCGATGATCACTAGTTATTAATCTATTTGCTTAAAAGCTGTGCCACACGTGCAACCTCGTCATGGATACTCAGATGATCTCTATGCTTTATTTTATTCATGCCTTTATATGCTTGATTTACATGTATACCCTTGACTTAAAATCATTATTTGTTTTTCTTTTTTTCCTTCAGGAGTTATTTGCAAAAGCATGTTTGTAGCTTGGTTGGTGTGATATATGGGATATATGATATATATATATATATAGTTTATAAATGTGTCTTTTTTTTATCCTCAGTATAATTTTATATTAATTTTAAATTCGAAAAAAATTTAAATACAATTAATATCACAATGACTATTGACTGATTCAAAAAGTAGTTATAATTATTAAGGAAATAAATAAAAATTTAACATTTTTCTTAATTAGTGTGTAGAATATTAAAATCACACTATTTGTGGAAAAGAGAGACAATAAGGTTGTTCGACCAAATCAATAATAAATCCAGATTTTGCAATCAAATATCGGACATAATGATCTCTACATATCACACTATTAAGGAAGCTAAATCGTATAAATTTATGCTGGCAAGCTGTCTTTTGCTTAAAATGATGAAAGTTGTCCCCACCCACAAACTTATATTTTAATTTCCCATCAACCATCATAATGTATAGATCAAATTCATAAGGTACTATTTCTTTTCTCCAACTTGTCCTCTTGAGCAAAAAAAAAAACTCATTAGGAAACATACTTGAGCTTGAACTTGCACCGGCCCAATATCTCCTCCAACCCTTTGTCTTGCGTCTGTCCAAGAGAGACTCATTCTAATGTGTTAACTAAAGTTAAGTCTAAAAACAATTATCTTTTCAATTTCGTATGCTTACTATTAAAACACACACATAAACACATTTGATTGTTTGATCTAAATATGAAGAAAACGCCAAAAAAAATAATTATGAGAAACGTGGGTCTTGACGAGAGTCTAATTTTGATGGGCCTAAAGCCAGTAAAGAAAAAACTCAGGCCAGAAGTGAAGAAAGAAAGCTGAAACGAAAGCGTATGGTACTTTACGGACATGTTCTGACAAGTACAGATTAGAGTTAGAAAACACACAAGCGAAGATGGGGAGAGACAGTGAGTTTCAACAGAGAAAGTAATGTCAACGGTTCTTCAGCTTCCGATCATCGATCTTTCTATGCCGGAAAAGCTCTTTACTTCACGACTGATTCGCAGGTTCTCTTCTTTTTTCTTATACTTGTATCACACACATTAATTAGTAAATGCTGGTTTGAGTTTAGAACAAACATTATGTGTGTGCTTTGATGATTATTTCTGATTCTTAGGCTTGTTAGGATCATGGATTCTCTACTATCTCACGAATCATGGCGTTCCCCGAGGAATTGATGAAAAGAGTGTTCACGGAGAGCAAGAACTTGTTCTCTCGTCCTCCTGTGAGAAGATGGTGACGGTACGACGTGGTTTGAGAGGCTACTCACCTTTATACAACGAGAAAGGTTCTTATTATTATTAGCTCATGAAATTGTTTGGTAACTCCAATGAGCATGTGGGTGCTTGATTCCAGCTTCTCCTAACAGGTGATCCCAACGAGCTATTCACTTTTGGATCTTCAGAAGGACTTTTGGGTCAAGACTTGTGTGTTGTGTCATCAAATACTCGAAGTTCTGCCTCTACGTCGTTGATAAACAATTGTAGTATGGGCCTCATGTATAGATGGGTCAAATATGTAGTTAGCCCATTAGAGCCCTCTTGCACATTCATTGAAAAAACTTAATATAGTAATATGGGCTATGTAGTGAACCCATTAGAGCTCTTGTACATTCGTTGATATATTTACTACCATTGTAAGCATGCTGAATTTCGCAAAACAGTTGTCTATGCTAATTTTAAAACTGTTTGATGTTGCTAAGTCTCTATTAAGGTATCTACTCACATCAGTTATGGCTTCGGTCTAGGTGGTTTACATGATGGACTGTAACAAATGGTTGGTACACCCCTTGTCATTACCACTCTATAGCACTAAGGGTTTATCAGAAGAAAAAAAACAATGTCTCTTCATACCGTGTCTTCTCTATACATTCTCAGTTGAAAATAGGCTTCACGGTTATGTCAACAGTTAGATTTTGAACCTTGAGCCCATTAAATAAGTAGTACGTATGCACAATCTTAGGTGCCTGTGTCTTCTTGAAACATTTGTTGGAACCAAAATTAGCGGTCCTACACTATCTTCTATTGAACTTATAAATGTAAAAGAGAAACGTTATTTCAGATATATATATATATATACTTTTTCCTTTTAACTTCCATCCTAGATTTTTGGATCGACTTGCTTGTTGGTGTTTGATATTTTGTTTTTCTGCTTTTAAGGGCAGTGGGTAGCAAATTTCCTTGGCATTGGAATTAGATGAGGACTTCTTCGAACAAGTCGGAGACTGACAGGGTCCTACATCAGTACTTTGTTCGCCTCTTACGCTATCAAATTCTGGTTGGATTGATATTAGTTCTAATGAACTTTGGTAAGAGTTAGATCTGTACAAAGCAGAATCGGTCCTAGTAACTATTGGGCCGGAAGCAAATCTGAAAAATATGACCTATTCATACTCATCTTTTATAAGAAGAGAAAAAAATTTAAAGAATGTCAATAGGATTACTCGAACTTCCTACCTCCTCTTCATTATTATTCTGCTTTACTACTTGAGCTACTGAATAATTTGAGTGTTAGTTTAGCTTGTAGCTACTGGCTTTTGGAGGGCTGTTGATAGCTAACCTACGCCATTTAGTCCAAGTCTATGTGTTTTTGTTACGAAATGTAATAAAATGTTTGTTTTTTATTTGCAATAATGAAATGCTAGTATTCGACGTTTACGTTTTGCTTGAAATTTGTAATTAGTGAAGATCTACGCAGTTGTACAAAACTTGTTTGATTTGTCTTCCCTAAAATAATCAGATCAGTCAACAATATAAAAACTAAAAAAAAACCGTGGGACTTGGACGGAGTTTACGTATTTGGACCATACTGCTACACGTGACTAATTTTCTGTGGTTCTAGCTAGATCGACAACTTGTTATTTCTTACAATACCAAAAATAGCGTCTTATATACCTATACGTTATAACAAAACGACAATTTATAGTTGCCTACTTTTTCTTTTGACGTTGCCAAGACCTAACACCAAACAGCTTGATGGGAAATAAAAACTAAATCGAATTTTACTACGCTGCATATACATAGTTGAACTTGACAAGCGAGTCCACTGGACGGAGAAAATGAGCAAAATCATTAATATTAATATGAAAATTCATTATATTTATAATATATTTTTTATAAACATGTTCAAATTTATGTACTTTTAAGAAAAATCTCGATTTGCCCATAAGGCAATACATGCAAGTTGTTAATTTATAGGGCTTATGGGCATTATGCAACCATATCTCTTCGTGATAAGAAGGTGATAAGAAGGCAAAACGTTATCTTATCTTCAAATTTAAAAACGTGTATCATCGTCATCTTCAAATACATGCATACAGATTGTTCCCATTTAGCCGAAATTGTTAAAAAAAAAAAAGTTCTGAAAGCTCCCAAAACGAGATTTGGTCTCATTATTCATTGAATAAAAAAATGTTGTTATACGGAAAACAATCAAATAATTCCTCATTTTTTACGTGGGTTCCCTTGTATAGATTATTGTCGATACTGTGACACGACTGGATCTGAAGATAAAACCCGAATTTTCATCTATTTATTTTCCTTAAAAAAAAAAGCTCAAAAAATTCATCAATCTCTCTCTCTCTCCCAACTACTCAGCAATTAAATCGGTAGAGGCACCAAAAGCATTTTTGCCTCTCTTCTCTTTGTCTTGAATCTGTTATTATTTTCTCGGGAAAGTTTTTAGGTAATCCGAATCGAAACCATGGAGGGAATTGATCACTTAGCCGATGAGAGGAACAAGGCGGAGTTCGATGTCGACGAGATGAAGATCGTTTGGGCTGGTTCTCGCCAAGCTTTCGAGGTTTCCGATCGAATCGCCCGCCTCGTCGCCTCCGATCCGGTGAGTCCCTCCTCGATTTTCGATTATTATTATGATTACGATTAGGGAGGATTTTGATTATTATGAAATTCGATTAGGTGTTCGAGAAAAGCGATAGAGGTAGGTTGAGCAGGAAGGAGCTGTTCAAGAGCACGTTGAAGAAATGTGCTCACGCTTGGAAGAGGATCATCGAGCTTCGTCTCACTGGTATTGTATTCTGTTCTCTCTAACGCACCTTATTGTTTGTTATTAAGGGGTTCGATATGACGTCGTTTTGATTGTGTGTGTTTTTTTATTGGTTTACAGAGGAAGAAGCTGGAAGGTTGAGGTTCTTTGTTGACCAGCCTGCCTTTGTTGATCTTCACTGGGTACCTCCTTCCACCTTTACACTCCCTCCACCTTTATACTCTCTCCGTTTCATTTTAGTAGTTGTTTCAGGTTTTTGCACACAGATTAAAACATTTAATTTTATATATTTTTAAAATAAAATACAATTATATATACATCTAATCCCATTTCAACTAATAAAAAATAGAAAAATGTATATAAAAGTAATAAATTCTGCATGTAACTATAAAACGACACATATTTTGAAACAAAATGTTTTCTCTACAATGACATGTAAATTGTAACGGAGGGAGTAGTTAAATAGTTTCTTCTGGGAAGGACCCTTGGCTAGGGCGAGTGTCTGCTGAAACGAAACTAATATTACATGCTGTGGTTTCGGGCCTGGGGCATTACGGGCTTCGGCCTCCTCGTATTCAATAGTTTGTTCGACACACTGCATTTTGAATGGGGGATTCATGTTTTTTTTTGTATTTGTTCTATAGGGAATGTTTGTGCCTGCTATTAAGGGGCAGGGTACAGAGGAGCAGCAACAGAAGTGGTTGTCTTTGGCTAATAAGATGCAGATTATTGGGTGTTATGCACAAACTGAGCTTGGTCATGGCTCTAATGTTCAAGGACTTGAGACTACCGCCACTTTTGATCCCAAGACTGATGAGTTTGTGATTCACAGTCCAACTCAGACTTCTTCCAAAGTGAGTATACTAGGATACCGTTGATATTTAGCATGCATTGTTTGTCTCTTCGTTGTGTTAAGATTTTTGCATCTGGTTTTTGGTTGATGAATAGTGGTGGCCTGGTGGCTTGGGAAAAGTTTCTACACATGCTGTTGTTTACGCTCGTCTCATCACTGACGGCAAAGACTATGGTGTTCATGGTATGTACTGCGAAATATTTTCTCTTTTGTTTTGTTTCGTTTTTTCTTGCTCGGGTATTTATTGCTTAACTTTCCTCTTCCAGGGTTCATTGTGCAACTTCGCAGCTTGGAAGATCATTCTCCTCTGCCCAATATAATTGTTGGTGATATCGGGACGAAGATGGGTAATGGAGCATATAATTCTATGGACAACGGTTTTCTTATGTTTGATCAAGTTCGCATTCCCAGAGATCAAATGCTCATGAGGTCCTCTCTCTTAGCCTTTTATTTCTAGTTGAAATGGCTTGTGCTTACATGTGGGCTTATGATTCTGCATTTTTCTTCTTTTCCAAAACGTTTCAGGCTGGCTAAAGTTACAAAGGAAGGAAAATATGTTCCTTCGGATGTTCCAAAGCAGCTAATGTATGGTACTATGGTGTATGTGAGACAAACAATTGTGGCAGACGCTTCAAATGCACTCTCTAGAGCAGTTTGCATAGCTACAAGGTACAGCGCAGTGCGGAGGCAGTTTGGTGCCAAGAATGGTGGCAGTGAGACACAGGTACTCATTTTAACTCCTTTCATAATCAAAGATACTCATGGTTGTATGGAGTTTTCCGTATTCTCATTAGAGTTTAGTGACTATTTTACTGGCTTGAAAAGGGAATGTAATATTTCCTGCATGTTGTTATCACAGGTGATTGATTATAAAACTCAGCAGAACAGGCTATTTCCTCTACTAGCATCTGCATATGCATTTCGATTTGTTGGGGAGTGGCTAAAATGGCTGTACACGGATGTAACTGCAAGACTGCAGGCCAGTGATTTCGCTACATTGCCTGAGGCTCATGCATGCACTGCAGGATTGAAGTCTCTCACCACCACAGCCACGGCGGTATGTTCCAGAACTGATCCTTTTAGCTCACTAGACTAGACCAATCGGGTTTGCTTCTCTATGGTTCACACCGCTCACATTTTGGAAAGTTTGTAGACTCCTTCACGGGGCTTGGATGTGTATTTAGAATTGGAAAGTTAGCTTAAGCTTACTGTTGGTTGCAGGATGGCATTGAAGAATGTCGTAAGTTATGTGGTGGACATGGATACTTGTGGTGCAGTGGGCTCCCCGAGCTGTTTGCTGTATATGTTCCTGCCTGCACATACGAAGGAGACAATATTGTGCTACAGTTACAGGTACTTATTATTGTGCAAATGTTATCAAGTGTGAACGGTTTTCACATACGAGAATAACAGTGTCAATTCGAATAAATTTCTTGGCACGTGGCTATTCAGCTTACCGCTCTCTGGATTTTTGGCTGTGAATTAATGATTTAACATATCTTCGTATTGCGAGTTTTGTCCTTCTTAGATATTGTATGATATGCAGGTTTTATCAGTTTCACATTTTTTGGGCAAGTGTGTTTATGGTAGACATGGAAGACACATTAAGCTACTTTTTAAAGTTTTTGGTTCATTGTGTTTCCTAAATTTTTCCAGCAATAAGAATTTCTCCATTGACATTTGCGGTTATTCACGTAATTGTGTTTATAGGTTGCTAGATTTCTCATGAAGACAGTGTCCCAGCTGGGATCTGGGAAGGCTCCCGTTGGCACAACTGCTTACATGGCTCGTGCTGAACATCTTTTGCAATGTCGCTCTGGTGTTCAAAAAGGTGAGTTTTCAAGTTTACATGTTATTTCCCTTCTTCCCGCTACATTAAACGAATGATCTTTCTCAATACGGTTCCCGAGTTAATGAGTACCGTTTTATTCTTTGGGCATGTAGCTGCGGATTGGTTAAACCCTGCTGCGGTACTGGAAGCTTTTGAAGCAAGGGCTCTGAGAATGGCTGTTGCTTGTGCCAAAAACCTCAGCAAGTTTGAGAATCAAGAACAAGGTACACTTCTCTAACTCCATGAAATCCAGAGCAATTAGTCTCCCTGTCAGATCCTAAACCAAAGGACCAAACTCTACGGTATTTTCTCACAAAAAATTCTCCTACCTGCAGGATTCTCAGAGCTATTGGCCGAGCTTGTTGAGGCCGCGGTCGCTCATTGCCAATTGATTGTTGTTTCCAAGTAAGCTTCTTCCTCTTCACCATTTCAAACGGATCAGATAGTAGTTAGTGATTCTCTCGAGTCAGCTCTTGAATTTCACCAACTTTGTCTTGTTTAGGTTCATAGCTAAGCTTGAACAAGACATAGGAGGCAGAGGAGTGAAGGAACAGCTGAGCAATTTGTGTTACATTTACGCTCTCCATATCCTTCATAAACACCTCGGAGATTTCCTCTCCACTAACTCCATCACTCCAAAACAAGCCTCTCTAGCCAATGACCAGCTCCGTTCCTTATACACTCTGGTTCCTCCTCTCTCTCTGTCTCTGTTTGTTACTTCAAAAGCTGAGTAGTATATTAACATTTGTTGTTCCTTGTTATAGGTCCGCCCCAATGCGGTTGCGCTTGTGGACGCCTTCAACTACACTGACCATTACTTGAACTCGGTGCTGGGGCGTTACGACGGTAATGTATACCCGAAGCTCTTTGAGGAAGCATGGAAGGATCCATTGAACGACTCAGTGGTTCCTGATGGGTACCAAGAATACATTCGTCCCTTGATCAAGCAGCAGCTTCGTACCGCAAGGCTCTGAAGAGTTTGCTTTTTATACACATTCTTCTTCTCTTTCAAGTATCACTGTCTTCAATAAATTCACCGGTTTAAAAACTGGCGATTACCCTTATTTATGTTTAGCAATGTAATGTCTGACACACAAGGCGGATGTTAGTACTATTTTCAAAGTATGAATCAAACATAAGTATATGTCTGGTTGCTAAAAGTCATACCGCAATTCGGGAATCCAACGGTAGGTTTACTTTTCCGATGAGTTGGAATCTAGGGGAGGATTTAGATCAATGATGAGAGAATAGTTACTTTGATACAGAACGTCATCTTCTCACAGATACTGAGAAGTTTTTTTTGTTTTTTTTTTTGAAAACGAATAGAGTATCCCACTTTTCTTCATCAAATCATTTTCGAAATCTGAATTCATCATCTTTCGAACGTATACCAGAGGCATTATATTGTCAAAGTTGGGACAAGTGGACGAAACAACAAATAGGTCAGCAAAGGTATATGTAAAAGTGAAGTATAACGTGGACGGTGTTATTTCACTTGTTAGGAAAGTTTAGATCATGAGTGTTGGTAAACCTGTGAAGCTGGCGTTTTGTTATGATGGTCTTCTCAAAAAAGTTTGTTTTACATGTGATCCAGACACTTTTTAACTTATCAAATACTAATAGCTATTTTGTAGTTTTTCATATAGTATCCAATTTTCAAAATATTAGATATATAATTTTATTCTTTTAAGATCTAAATAATTAACAAAAGAAACACATTTAATATTACCACACTGATTTAGGTTGCTTTTTCAATTAAAAATAGTACATGTTGAAATTTGGTAAATTATAATTAATTTTCAGTGTTATGTTTTTTTTCATAACCCAACCGATTAATCTCCAGAGAACTATATTCCGTTTTCGTATATCACAGATTAATTACATCTGATTTATATAATAAAATACTGCATATAGTTACCAAACTTGGACAATAAATTTTATATTAATTTCGAAGTCGGATATGTATTAATATTGAAATGTGTAGTAGTTGTTTGTTGTTTTATTACTTTGTAATTTAGCTCACAATCTGGATGCAAGTTATTCGTAAATCCTAAGAAACGAAATTTCCATCAAATACTATAATTAAATTGATTTGCTTGAACTGAAACATGCATGTGGAGTTTATCAGGATTGTGCTTTGTTGTCAATTAGCATCATTTCCACGACATCAAACTTCAGACCTTTATATTTATTAAACATTTAATAGCTGAATTTGGTAGGTGGATAGTTGTAGTGCAAAATAATGTTTCGGTTGCAACTTGTAATCCTCTTTTATAAACCAGGGTTTTGTCAAAATATGCTAACAATTTCAAAAGGGCATTAATCTTTCATTTTCTAATTGGTTGTAATTAAACTCTTTATGAACCAAGACATGCATATAAACATACACAAAGTTTTAAGGGGTAAAACATGTAATCCCTAGTCCGTAATATCGTGCCCAATGGTAATAACGGACTCCACACGGGCATAGGCCTTTTGTTTTCCATTTATTTGTAAGTTCAGTGCGCAAACCTATCCATAGATCGTGCGTTCTCTAGAGATTAGTGTGAGTCTATTTGGGTTTGGGATTGTGCTTGAGTTATCAAAAATAGATGTGATCCCTAAATTTGTAGTTCTAGTTTTATTTTATTTCGTCGTATTAATAAGTCGTCAAATGGACCCCACGATAAAAACCAGTACGTAACTTGCTCCCTCTAAATCATAATGTATACATTTTCAACATCATATACTTTGTACATATACATAACGTGTGTTTATGTCGTTTTGCGTACGTGCGTCGTCCGCAGCAATCTTCTACACAATTTCTTTACTAGAAAACTTCTACAATTATTATTCGCATATTCGCAAACGTCCAATTGCAAAACTTAATTCGTAAATTGCTTTTAAGTACAAACATTGACTGACGGTTGTTAATTACTATTGTCACATTTATAGTTATATAAAGCTATCGTTCTATTTTTTGAAATGCTCCAGTTAAATTTTAACTTCAAACTGTATACAGTATGTTTGTTCACGGTAAGAAAAATTGGCTAACTTAAAAAGAGACTCTTATTAATTATTTATTACTACTATAAGCTTACTTCCAGGGATAAATTACTTTTTGAATTATCATGAGGTTTAAGACTGAAGCATGTAATTTTCCAGATCCAAAAAGTAATATTAATTTCATCTTAAATATCCTTCAATTATGTGATGTATAAGTTTTTTTTGAGCAACCATGATTTCTAAGTTTTTTGGATATTTTTCAACAGAGATAGCAATGCTTGGTTGCACTGCTAATTCAATTAATTATGAGATTTAGAAACTGGATTACAGATGTATTCACTAATACTAATCGTTGTCTTTGTCAAATCCAAGTGAAAAACGTGCGTCACCTTTGTAGGCTGACATAGGTCATGGTCGGAAAAACGAAAATATAACATTTTCGGAGAACTAACAAAAGATCGGAAAATGAAATGTAATGTATTTTGAAAAAGTAAAATAAAAAATACCTAAGGGACCACACCTTCCACTTACATCTATCGTTTCCCTAAACTTTACTGTACGTGTGAAAATGTCTACGCACACAGGAAATAATCAGTCTAGAGTTATAAGTTTTGTTTTTGAAAAAGAGTTATATAAAACTTAGTTTTATAGTTTTATGTAATCCATATGTAGAAAACTACGCATAGATTTCTTAAACTTTGTTTGAATAAAACTCTTTGAAACTTTGCTTAATGAAATGAAGGCTAGAGCATATGTCAGAAATTAAAAAACTACATCGACTCAATGCAGAAACAAAATTTTAACATAAAAATAACTTCACGACTTTCATTTAAAAACCAACTAGTAGTAAATTAAAAAGTAACATGTTCTCAATTATTGTTGACGTAACATTCTTAACATCTATATCCATAAATTAATATCAAATTTGTCCTAAACTACTTTGGTTAGTTAGTTCTGTTCGACCTTCAAAAGATAAATTATAAGCTCAACATTTATTTAAAAATGTTCAAAGCCCAATCAGATTAATGTACTTGAAATTTAATCCGACAAGGTTCAGTTACGTATAGTCGACAAAAAAAAAGGTTCAGTTGCGTATATTTAATTTGGAAAAGCTAATTAGACTATTTGGGAGAGACAGAAATGATAAAAGTACATTAGCTTGATACAAACGAACAAGTGTCCAATTCAGGGCAAAGTAATGAATATTATACATACATAAAGTAAAATAATATTATTGCAAGGAGAAACAAAAAGAAAAAGAACAGAAAAAATCTAAACGCAGTCAAGTCCATTTTAGCTTTTATTATTTAATTTTAATTTTATATATTATAAAAATAAACAAACATACACACAAGAATAATTGCTTCATATTTTGGATGTATATATTAGAAGAGGCAAACCAATCTCTTTTCCACAACTATTCCTACTCTCTCACCCCAAAATACAAGAAATAAAAACTTTTGTTGTAATCATCCCACCAAGACCTCTCTCTCGTGTTACATTTTACTTCCTTTTAGATGCAAGACTCCTCTCTTCCCCGGTCAGAACGTAATCTCCGGTCACCGGCGCCGGAGAGAACCGGTAAAAACTCAAACTCTAAAAATGAGAAAAAGAGTGTTTCTAAGCATCCAAACTATCGTGGGGTGAGAATGAGACAATGGGGAAAGTGGGTGTCTGAGATCAGAGAGCCAAGAAAGAAATCAAGAATCTGGCTCGGCACTTTCTCCACGCCGGAGATGGCGGCGCGTGCACACGACGTGGCTGCTTTAGCCATCAAAGGCGGCTCTGCTCACCTCAATTTCCCTGAGCTCGCTTGCCATTTGCCGAGACCGGCAAGCGCCGATCCTAAAGACATTCAAGCCGCCGCAACAGCAGCTGCAGTAGAGTGGAAAGTCCCCGAGTCTCCGTCGAGCACGGCGACGTCATCGGTGACGTCATCTTCAGTCGCGGACGACGCTTTCTCAGACCTCCCTGATCTCTTGCTAGACGTGAATGATCACAAAGTTGATGGATTCTGGGACTCGTTTCCGTACGAAGAACCTTTCTTCATGGAAAATTATTAGGAAGCTGTGAAGTGTCGGAGAGACGGTAAATAACGGCCGGTGAATGATTTTTTCCGGTGAAGATGGGACATGGTGTCGATATGTAAGTTTTGTCTCTTTGTGGGGATTTTTTTTGCTTTTTTTCATTTTACGTGTGAGTAAGTTTCCAAATGTGTGATGTGTAAGTAAAAAAAAGGTACAGGTTTATTTACTTATTTTCATCTTGTTTTTGTAAAAATTCGAACGTAAGTAACAGAAGGTTTTGTTTATTAGTGCGTTGTTATTTTTCAAACCCCTCAAATATTTGGGTAAAAATACGCATTACATATTTCACTTAAATAAGTGTCTATCAAATTGTTTATGATAATTATGGTATTTTATCATACATGTGACAAGATAATATAACAAATTTACATTATATGACATGCTGTTATTTTCTCTAAACTCCGCTGCAAATATATAGATAAAATGTTGAATGATGAAACTGTAATCCCATCTTCAGTCACCTAAATAAGAAAACACTTAAAAAGAACTGAGTCATTTATTACCTAATAAAAATAAACATATGATTATCTAATCAACACAATTAAAAAAGAATTAGTCCAACAATATGAAGCTTGCGTGTTGTGTCTTAATTTTGACCCTTTGTTTTCACATCTTTTAGTTCTGTCTCACATAACCTTTATCTTTTTTCCCACAGAGCCGGCAAAGAATATATATACACATTTTAGGTTTCCATCGTGTCTTAAGGGAAAAACTGGTGAATTAAATATAAACAAAATCTTTTTGTACAAATATATATATATCAATTTCAGTTTGATAGTTATTCCCCTTTGTATTAATTATTCGTTATGTACTCAATCCTAAAATCATAATCTATTTTAATCGAATACGAATACCATTATTTGCAGGGTACGAAGTATAATGGGCATCATATTTTGTATACCACTCATTGCTCTCACTTTTATTGTTGTGGCATTAATAAAGGTATAGCTAGTATAAGAATAAGATACCGGAAATACACCAAGTGGCTCTTGGGTCAATAGACTTCGAATTCATCTAATCCCTGTAATACGGAGAAAACATTTGTCAACCACACATGTTGTGTGGGTCGTTTCCTGATCAATGGCCGAGCTAAATATTAGTTTTACATGCATGAAACATTTACTCATATTCTATAGCTAATTAAAACGGTAAGTGTGGGAGTTTGAAATCAAGACATAGGGGTCATGAAGAAGATTTTTACCAAATCACCACAACAACAAGTATACTAATAAGCCTACAACTTAAGTTTTATAGATTTCATGTGGGTAAGATGAGCCCCTTCACTTCAAGGTGGTTCTGCCAAGCGAATTCCAGTGAGTTAAGCAACACGGGTTAGAAACAATCCCACAATACTAAACATGTGTAGTTGTGCAACATGAGTTTTTAATTCATATTGAGAACATGTGTGTTTAGCTTCAATGGACAAACCTATAGGAAATTAGTCAGTTGGGTTTTGGTCGGTCAGATACCTCTGGATTATTAAAAAAAAAACATGTATTTAAATGTTAGATATACCAAAAAGAACATCTACAGTTTTGATAGCCAAATCTTGAAACGACAATAGATAATATAGTATATATTTGAAGCGCATATACTAAGTTATTACATATCTACAAAAGTTCGACTAATCCAATTATTTCCCCCCTTTAGTATATCCACATAAACATTAAGTTCAGCCACATTTTGCCTATCGAAAATCATAGTTTAACATGGATTTATTTCTGTGTACGTTGAGAAATATTGCAGCCAAAGCCAGAGCAGGTGAATACAAAGAGGAAGTGGTAAATTAATTTAAGGATCAGTCTGAGTAGATAAACCTAAGATATTCTAGGTCCGGAATAACATTAGATTAAGAAAAAGGGTAAATTAATACAAGAGACAAACTTTGTGGTATTTTCTGTCTTTTTCCATTTTCCACTTTAGTTTTCTCCATTTCCGAATCATCTTATTGGCCCTTATAAAGTTGGAAAATTAAAGGATCTACAGGGCCACTTATTTATTAATGTATGGTGTATTTAATGTATTTTAGTTAGTACTGATTTTCACTCTATGTTTGTATTATATCAAATTTTCTATGGGCATCATCATTGATAAATTTCTAGCTTAAGTATCTAAATTCCGTTGACAAAAAAGTATCTAAATTCCAATATATTAATATTCTCATAGAAGTCCTTTTATTTAGCTATTTTCATATTTTTTGAAATATTGAACGATTTATATATGACTTTTATTATATAAGTTTCTGAGTAAAATATTATATTTTCTCAGTTAAGAAACTCTTCACTCATTTTAAAAACATAATAGTGTTGAGTTATCTTTTACCTATTTACTTTTTTGTTGTTTTGTCCACTGCTTCAAAAAAAACGTTTTTATGGATGTGATTGGTTAGATTGTATGAATTGATTTTAATTTTATTTTTACTCACCTCTTTAAAAACTATCAATCATGTTTTATATTGATTTAGAAAATTACAAGAAAAAAATAAAAAATAGCTGTAACAGTTTTATTTTTTAAAGTCCCGTCTTTTTAACCGTAAAAATATATTATTGTATCAATAAATTTTAAAATTACATCACTTAAAGTTAAATTTAAAAAATATTATAAACTAAATTCTACGGTAAATTTTCTACAGTTACAAAACCAAACTAGTCATCTATATTAAGATATTTATATTCAAAGTCACTTTTATTATTGTAATTTACATTATATGACTTTTTCACTTGTAACACATTTTACTTCTTTAAACATATTTTTTCTTCTCTTTATATTTTGACTCAGGTGACCACTCAGTCTACAAAATTAAATCTAACTAATATTTAACTAACCTACAAAATTTGCTTTAACCACAAATCTATTTTTTTTCTCTTTCTTTGTTTGTTCTTATTCTCTTCTCTTTTCCGCTATTGTTACAAAAGCTTAGTTCATGAAATGTATATGAAAATGATATAAGACGACGGTGAAAAAGTTGCGGGACACAATTGTTGCAAAATCTCAAGTTACTCACATTCTAGATTTCCTCAGTTGTCTACATGCCTTCATTGTCTCTGTGCGTTGTCGGATCTTATATCATTAGAAAAAAGTCCAAGAATTACTAATATTGTTGAAGAAACCCAACTTGTGAATTTGTTCATGATTGTTTTAGAATGATCTGCTAATTATCAAATATAAATGTAAGTTATATTGTTACTTGATTGAAAAGATATTAAATCCATCTAAATCGTCGTGGGTGAAATACTGAAGTGTTGATGGTCTAATGATAATAAATTTGCTAAATTTGTATTTCTTGGATTCAAATATTTATACGTAACGTTACTAATTTTTTGAGTCAAACTTTTTTTAAAAAAAATTATGGACTTAAGAGTTAAAAACCTAAAAAAATTTAAATTTTTTTACCAAACTGGTGATTAGTTGAACATAGATTTGATTACTTTCGCCGTCAGAAAAAGATCTAATTACTTTCACAATAAATGCATAGCAAATGAGTTTTATTTTTCTTTTTTATTTTTTTTGTAAATAGTAGATTTTGTAAACATTTCATACAAATGAAAAAATATATAAATGTCTAAGACACTTTCTGTCGCAAGTTCGGACACGCCACTGAATGATATGGGGTTTGTACGGACGTTAGATGTAGATCCTGTTGGGCATTTACCAGCAAATGTCCGAAACACCATCCTCCGAACAAAATAAAATCTTTTATACAAACTCTGATAAAATCTTTGAACAAGAAAAAAACTATTTGAAAAAATAAAATCTATCGTATTAAAACAAAACCTTTATGTTCCACTTAACCTTTAATCATGTGTAATATTACTTAAACATCATTGGTCATTATACAAACTAAGTGTTTTACTCACATTTATGGGGCTAAATATTTTATAATTATTTTATTAATACATCTTTTACTAATTGAAAGATTATAATAATAAAATATTAATTGTGTTTTATTTTTTGAAACCAATAATATTTATACTTTCATTTAACAATTTTTACATATTTTTGTTTTATAATTTATGTTCACTATTAAAAATAATTTTAAAATCAAATAATATTTTTTTAAAAAAATTATATAAAATTAAGAAGTTGACTTGATTAATATTTACTTATGTATTTTCTATTGTTTTAATTATTAAATTTTTATCAAAATATATTTTCAGACAACATCACAATATATATCGGACTTATCTTATTTTAAAAGATATTATTTAGATTTTGGATAATTCTTATGATTATTATTAATTTTAGTTACTTATCTAATCAAAATAATTTAAATTCGTTTTTATTTTGTATGTAAGTTCTATATTATTTTCATTAAGTGTATAAACGATAGTAACCACTCTTACTTTTAATGTGGGAGCTATGTTACGAATAATCACTTCGCAAATAATAGTATAGCTGTAAAATCAAATAATATTTTTTTCAATTATATAAAATTAAGAAGTTAACTTGATTAATATTTACTTATGTATTTTCTATTGTTTTAATTGTTAACTTTTTTATCAAAATATATTTTCAGATAACATCACAATATATATCGGAATTATCTTATTTAAAAATATATTATTTAAATTTTGGATAAAGCTTTGATTATTATAATTTAGTTACTTATTTAATCAAAATAATTTAAATTCGTTTTTATTTTGTATGTAACTTATATATTATTTTCATTAAAGGTATAAACGATATTAACCACTCTAACTTTTAACGTTGGAGCTCTGTTTCGAATAATCACTTTGCAAATAATAGTATATATAGACAAAGAATTCATTAAAGGTAATTATGTAAAACAACATTATATTACTATTCATATTTACAAATAATATAATAATTAAAAATTGTGCCCAAAAAATATAAAACACTAAATCTCACCTTTTTAAGAAATATTTACTAATATTTTATATAAAATATTTGATAAAATAAAATTTGTCTTATTGAATCAAAGCATTACATTGGACCTGTCTTATAATCATATGTAATAATACTCAAATATCATATGTAATAGTACTTAAATATCATTGGTAATTAATAAAAACAAAGTATTCATTAAAGATAAATTATGCAAAACATCATTATACTAAGCAATATAACAGTTAAAATTATCTTTAAACAATATAAAGCATTAGATCTCACTTTTTAATATTTTTATTACTAATTTATACAAAGTATTTGATAAATTTTTTGATTAAAATACTTAAATAATTTATCAAAACTAAATTTTGCAGGTTTATATTCTAAGTTTTTT